AGGTTACGTTTGACAGCACAAACACTGGAGTATGATCTTGTTTTTTGAGTATGTGTACGCAGCATCCCGGTTACTGCAACATAAAGTTGAGTGTGCATGTGTCCTAAAGACAAACGCTTGTCAGTCTTTTCATCACAGCAGAAGCCAAAATAAATAAAGTGACCAACATAAATAAAGTGAGTGAATTGAGAGCAGTGCTTATAGTTTATGCAAATGAGTCATGCGGTTTTAAGTTTTGTTTCTGTAAAACGTAAACAAATGTGGCAAAGTTGCATTAAACCAGTGCTTCTCAATTATTTTCTGTCATGCCCCCCCTAGGACGAATAAAACATCTCGCGCCCCCCCCCGCGTGACTATAGATAGTATCATTTGTCTATAAAATTGTTAGAAGTACACCTGTGCGTAACACTGCCACCTTATATGACGCCAACAACGCTCGCTGGTTTACTGAAGTAGCAGTCACAAAGCGGGATGATTGTCAGCAATATTCGGGACGTTTTCGCTGAAAAATCTCAAGCGGCTTATCAGAGTGATTGGGGTGTAATGTATTTAAGTGACGCCTTAATTTATTGGGCTTCATGCTGTCGGCTGCCAACATTTTTATACACAGTAAACACACCGGTCTTTCCTCGTCTCCCACCGTAGTCACAGTGAAGCCGAGCGCTACATACGCTTCGTCATATTTCCTCGTCTTAGCTTTCGGGAGATTTTCGTTTGTCTCTTTATCTCCGTCTCTCTCCGTCTGTCTTCTCATCCTTGTTAAATATTTTTTCATGGTGTCACTTGAGGGTCTGCTACACTTCGTGTCTACACTTCATACTCATACTCTGTGCTGTGTGCAAAGCGCGCATGCTCAGTGCAAACAAACTCCTACACCACCGAGCGAATGCTCCTGCGCACACTCTGCCAATGAGAGCGCTCTGCCCCCTAATGTAGTGGAAGTGCAATTGCACTTTATTCTAAAGGCCCGTTCAGACCAAAGCGTCAAAGCGTCCACTTTCTATGTAAAGTCTATGTGGACGCGCGACTAGAGCGTCCTGCGTTTTTGCGGCGCGTTTTCGGCGTCAGCGCGGCGCGAATCTGGCGTCAGCGCAGTGCGTCTTCAGCGTTTTGGCGTCAGCGGCCAAGACGCGCGTCCAAGGCGTCAGCGTCAAGAAGTTGAAAATGCTGAACTTTTCGCGTCAGACGCGCCGCGTCAACCAATCAGGGACGAGTATCCAGAGACGCAGCGACGTTATTATCAGGAAGAAAAACCCGAGAACCAGAACGAGAACCACAAACATGAGCGGAGGATAAATATATACGCCACAATCACCGAGCCGATCGCGAGGACTACACCAGGACCGGACCAGGACTAAACCAGGACCGGACCAGGACCAAACCAGGACTAGACCGAGACTAGACCGAGACTAAACAAGGACTAGACCGGGACTAGACCGTGATTAGACCAGGACTAGACCGGGACTAGACCGGGACCAGACCGGGACTAGACCGTGATTAGACCAGGACCAGACCAGTATTAGACCAGGACTAGACCGGGACTGATCCAGTGTCATTAGTGGAGTAGAAATATATAAACGCCCCAGTCGTCGACCCGATCTCCTCCTTTGATGTTTTATGTCATAAAAACTCTCTCTCAGTCTGGTCTGACATTGTTTTGGGAAAAGAGCGGGACCGGGCTCTTGTTTCCAGGGCAATGGACGCGCGTCAAGTATTTTTGTCCCGTTCGTCCACGGCGTCAAAGACGCGCGTCGGGGGCGTCTAAACTCAAATGCAAAGGCTCCAAATAAAGGCGTCAAGGCGTTTTTTGACGCTTTGGTGTGAACGGCCCTTAAGACAGTAAAAAAAATCAAAATAAAAAAATAAAAAAGCATGCTCCCCGAGGTCAAACGCGCCCCCCTTGACGGAGCCTCGGGCCCCCCCAGGGGGGCGCGCCCCACTATTTGAGAAGCACTGCATTAAACACATTATAATCTCAAATGGGCTGATGTGGCTCTCGAGTGGTTATGGTTTATATGTTGTAAAGTTGAGTTTATTTATGAAGATTAGTAATAGTAATAATAATGATAATAATTTTAATATAAAAGTGTTAGTGATTAATCGAAATTGAATCGTTAATTCTCCTGACGATCGATTTAAGACTAATCGAATGCCCATGACATTAAACAGCTCTGCTATACATTTATTCAATTGCACGTGGTTTTCAAGCTCCAAAATACCTAGAAAAACCGATATTCTGACTGTGAGCAGGGTTGCCTCTGCATAGATCTGACCTGTAACTTGGTCTGGTTTGGTTTCCATGAAGATAGAAAGGTTTAATGCCAGACTGTGAAACATTCCAGACAAAGCAACAACGTCTCCACAAAGAAAAGCGTTTGACAGATCCTCTACCAGAAAAGTTACACAGTGCACCTTAAACTGTGATGTAAAGGTACAATTTGAGCACTGACAAATTAGTTGGAGGTATGAGTTGGTAATACCAGTTTTGTTTCAGTCTGACACTAAGGCAAGTATCTCAATATAGATCTGATATCATGAGGTTTTTTTTAAAGATGCATTGAAACTCCACTCCAGGCTGTCTATCCTAGCCTAAAAATTAAATATCTGATAAAGTAAAATGCAAACACTATATTTCCAACAAGTGAAATATTTAAATTTAATCTACACATTTCTATAGTAAATATTGATATATAGATACTAGGAATGCAGAGACTGAGAACAGCATTTATTGCATTTAAACAAAAATATAAGACAAAACTGATCCACATGTGTTATGTATCTGCTCGGATGTAGCAATAACTGAAATACTGTTATATCGTATCTAGGGGTGTCAAATTATCGCGTTAATTGCGATTAATTAATTACAGTCATATTTAGCGCGTTATGTTTTTTAATCGCGTTAATCTCATTTTTAATCTCTAACTTTAGTGTTTCTGTATGTGAGTTGCTTTATTATAAAACCTGTTTTTATGTGTTGTTGGGACAACAACACACACACACAAAAAAAACCACATTTATACATTTTTTTTAATTTCGGTAATTCCACTCATTGCCGGAAACCCACACAAAACGCGCGCAGTAAGAGCGATGTGAACGTCATGTTCACGTTGGCGGCGTCAGGCACAATGGACGAGGTCGAAGAGCCAGTAGAACAGAGCAGCAGTGCACAGGGAAAAACACATTCGTGTCTTGGAAATTCTTCTCCCGACGTGAAATATAAAAGAAAATAACAAATATAATATCGCCTACAACTTAAATGTCACTGGTGAAAACAACCTGCATAGGCTCATGTCTGCACTACTGTCCTATACACAAACACACACACAAACACAAACACACACAAACACACACACACACCTTCATCATCGTCATCAACAACCTGAGAACAGCTGGACCACGTTTCCTTCCGTAGTTACTGCGCGGACACCGACGTGCTCCCGTGAGCCGCGTGTGGATCGTGTTTTCTCGCTACGCTGCATAAACCAAGCTTCCTCCTGTGAGCCTCTAAACCAGAACTAACACCAAGACTAAAACCAGGACTAAACCAGTCCAGGACTAAACCAGGTCTAAACCAGAACTAAAACCAGAACTAAAACCAGGTCTAAACCAGAACTAAATCAAGACTAAAACGGGACTAATCCAGTCCAACTAAACCAGAACTAAACCAGAACTAAACCAGAACTAAAACCAGAACTAAAACCAGGTCTAAACCAGGTCTAAACCAGGACTAAACCAGGACTAAACCAGAACTAACACCAGGACTAAAACCAGGATTAATCCATTCCAGGACTAAACTAAGTAGACTAAAGCAGGTCTAAACCAGGACTAAAACAAGGACTAAAACCAGTGATCTCATATATAAAGCATTTCTCTATCAATAATATTTTTAATATGGTTAAGGAAAGACTGGACTTTTTATTGTCTTTAAGTAGACAAAAGTTATTATGTTCAGATTTCCTCGTCTTTGCTACTTTACAGCAAACAGTTTCTTATTCATGGAGACTTGGGCTCAACAGCCAATTTGGAGAGATTTGTTAAACAATAAATGACTTTATAAAGTCACTTTTTTTGTTCTCTGTCAGTCTTTTGATCTGCCACAATAATGTAATAATGAATTTAAATGAAAATACCTCAAATTGAAGGCTTTTCTCAGCAATTTTTAGGTGAGATTAAAATGAGATTAATTAGATTAATTAATTACAGATCATAATTAATTAATCTCTCAATTTTTTTTATCGCATGACAGCACTAATCGTATCGTCAAAGTTCTCACAATAATATCGTTGACCATCACAATATATCGAATTACAAGTTTCTTTGCTTAAATTAAGAGTTATGGTGCAGCTAAAATGAACAGGAAGTTAGTGCAACGACGCAAGAATTGAGGTAATGTGATCGCGCTTTTTTCTCCATGTTAAAAGTCGCACGGCAGAGTTACAATTGCAGTTGTAATTCGATATATTGTGATGGCCCACGATTTTATTGTGACACTTTTGACGATACAATATCACGATATTTCAGGTATTGTTACATCCTTAGTAAATACTCTTATTACATCAGTTTCTTGGCCCAACCAGGATATCACCTGAATCGATATGTGGAAGTTGCAGCCATTTATTCAACGTCTGCGCCTGTATCTATCAGATCGGTGCATCCGTAATTGATTTTGACTGAGGTATTGATTCGCCCATCACTAGTAAATGCACAAATAAATGAAACAGACATGTACTGATTAAATAAAAGTAATAGCTCTAGATACACAGGTGAAATTGTATCTTTTTCAGTATTACGTGCAAGTCCTGAGTCTGGCCCTACTCTGTCCCTAACCCTACCTTTTACACACTGCTTATTTCCCCATTAAACTCCATCAGCCTTGCCCCGAGACACCCGCAACCTAGAACAAGCCCCCATTTTGCTTTTGACCTTCACAGCTACCACTCACCAAAAGTACTATTATTTCATGAAAAAGTATCAGACTCTAATTTTAGTTTGTTTTCCAGCCAGTCCATCCTCGGCCCAAGAAGCCCAGCCGCCTGCGCATCTACGAGGCTCACGTGGGCATTGCTTCACCCGAGGGGAAGATTGCCTCATATTCCAACTTCACTGCTAACGTGCTACCCCGCATAAAGGAGCTAGGTAAGTCCACGAGATGTGATAACCTCCAACAGATTATTCTCTTTTCTCTTCGCCCGCCCGGTATTTGGTTGGGCTTGTGCAAACTGTGAGATATGGGGAGCCCGAGCGCAGGTTGAATCACTGCTAGTGTGCGTTTCGTGTGTAGAAATATGTACGTTGGCGGATTGTGAGAGACTACATGCCCCGTTGGATTTCAGGGCAGGCATCCCAAGTGTTTAGGATGTGCCTCTGTAAAAACTGAGAAAGTGAAAAATCTATGTTTAAAAGCCCCATAATACTGTATTTTCTGATCCATGTTATAATGTTGTTTCCTCATCTGAAACATACTTACAGTTGCTTTGTTTCGTTTACACAGGGTTAACAGGTAAACCCTACAACCCTTGAGTAATCTTGTGTGTCTTTATCTTCAAAATACAAAATGCTTTGTTCCACTTTGTGATGTCATGAGTTTTCAAGTTATTTCTGCTTTACATTTAGTTCAGCAGATATTGGCAGTTCCAGATCTGAAATTATCCAAGTGATTCTAGTGAATGCCAAAGGAGAAATTCAATTTGTGAACTGGGCAAAAGTGTATTTTTCTTTATTTTATTTTATTATTATTTACAGGGTAGCCACGAGGTCTAAAAAGTCTTAAAAAGGTCTCAAATTTCATGTTTCTGAATTATGACCTTAAAAAGTCTTAAATTCTGTTGTCTAAGTCTTATTTTTTTCACTAAGGTCTTAAATTTCATTAGGCTATTTTTTTGTGAACTCACCTGGATCAAACCCAACGTTACACTGCAGCAGATTATTAATTAAAATCTTCTGCTTAAATAAACTTTACATTACTAAACTTTACAACATATAAAGCATAACGACTACGAGCCACATCAGCCTGTTTGAGATTATAATGTGTTTAATGCAGCTTTGTGCAGACTTTTTTATGTTTTAGAAATGAACAGAAACAAAACTTAAAAGCGCATGGCTAATTTGCATAAACAGCGCACTCCTCATGTCGTTAATGTGGTTCAGCGTCTTTCGGACGAAAGGACACGACTCAGTGGAATATGAGGATGTGCTGTTGATGGTCTTGTCTGTAAATGGTGGAAAAGTTTCATGGTGCTAGAAGCTTTTCACTGGCAGCAACGTTCGGCTTTCACGGCGGCAGTGAGGAGTGAAAGAGACACGCAGCAAAATCAGGGAGGCGGGGGCGCGCACAGAGAAGGCAAACAAGCGAAGCGGCGAAATCAAAATTGAATATAAGCATTAAATCGATATATACGATATGTCAGAGTCAATATAGAGTTTAAAAAATAGCTCTATGTTTAAAATATCAAGATATCGCCCACCCCTAGTTTTGAGGTTATGGTTTGGTTCATTTTCGGTTCAGTATGGGAACAAAATGCTAAACCCTTTGTGTGTTTATTAAACCAACAATTTGTTTTAACATTATACAAACGGGAAAATAAAATAAATGCAAACTGCTGCTTGGTAATACTAATAAGTTAAATCAAATATTCTCAAATAAGCAACAAATGTATGGATTTTAAAAATGGTTTACTGGCATTATCCTGCGTTATTATTGTATCAGTAATTTATTAGAATATTATCATTTACAATATATCTTTGTAGCGATGTATTGCGCTTCAAAATTTGTTACGACAGGCCAACTTGTACCGATTTTTTTACCCAGTGCAGATATTTTGTATGAACAGCTCCTGAGGTCAAAATATGCTTGCAGTGCGCGTTCAGAATCTAATTACAAAACGTCTAATGGTCCAATAATCAGAAAGTGAGCGTTAGCATAATAGCCGTTGTTATCTTTACCGTCACGGCACAACACCGCATTCGTCTCTGATAGTTGTACAAAGCTCTTATAAACTCATTGAGGTAAATAATAAGGATGCGCAGAATGCATAAGGTTAAATGAGGAATAACTTTGGACCACAGCAAACCGCTAAGTGCAAATGAAGTAGCTCTGTTTTTCTCTTTTTGAAGACAGTAAAAATCAGCTACAGCGCCTTTAGGTCCTTCATTTTGTAAACATCCTATTCTCACTTGCTTCTTTGTTGTTTCCGGTAACACAAACATTTGAGGGAAAACGGGAAGGTAACATTTTGAAAGGTTTAAGCGTTTGTCTTTGAAGAGTTGCCAGTTCAAATCCCACCTGTGACAGTACAGTTTTGTTGACATCACATGGCGGGTTGCAAAAGCTGAACATCTGGCATCAAAAAAACAAAACAGAAAAAACAACTGGAGCAAAACCAAGGGAGGCAAATGCATTCTCTACATAATTATTTTTGTGTGTACCATATTTTCCGGACTATAGGTCGCACCGGAGTATAAGTAGCACCAGCCAAAACATGCGCAATGAGGAAGAAAAAAATATAAGTCGCGCTTTTTGGGGAAATGTATTTTATAAAATCAGAGACCAGGAACCGACATTTTATCTTGAAAGGAAAGTTATAGTAATGACAGAATAAAGAACAACATATTAACAGTTATTCAGATAATTATAGCATAAACAACAGACCATAAGTTTACCAAACTCACGATCTCACTCCAAATCACTAAATCCATTGAATTCTTCGTCCTCGGTGTCACTTCTGCACGTGACCTCTGGAGATAAACCATAGATTCATGATGTAAACGGAGCGCTTCCTATTCTGCGTAGCTGTCGTCAGACTCTGCATCAATTCCAGTTAGAATTATTCCGGCCTTTCTGAATCCCGACAGGATGATATTGGTTGTCATTGAAGTTCAGGCTTTGTCGATTCATCCAGTGACTTCCAGGAAAGTTGCAAGGCCCACCCTCCCGGTTGTCGTGAAGCTGTGTTCTCCATCCCTGCTTTCCGCCAGTCCCTCACAAGTTTCTCGCTCACTCCAAATTTTCTTTCTGCTGCTCGATTACTGTTTTCAGCTGCATATTTCACTATCTGCAGCAAGACAGCGGCTTTTTCGGCAGGAGACGTGCAGTAGAGCGAAGTGACAGTGGTACAGGAGTAATAGTAGTACTAGATACTGACACACAAGATTAGAACCTCTCGCGGCTGTCAGTTTGAAAATTTTAATATGTAAGTCACACCGGAGTATAAGTCGCAGGACCACCTAAACCATAAAAAAAGGGCGACTTATTGTCCAAAAAATACGGTAATTGTAGAATATTGAGAAAGAGGAGAGGACTGTAAACGATAAAAATGTTTCTAAGGGAACTTTCACACTCACACCATTTGGTCCTTTTTAAGTGAACTCGAGTTTGGAACACCTGGGAGTTCGTTTTGTTTGGGCTGGTGTGAAATTGGATGAGTTTCATTTAGTGCGGACTAAAGAACCATAACAAGACCACCTCCAGAAAGTTCTAAACGGACTCCAGAGCGCTTGCGATTTGAACGTTGACTGGTCTCGATCGGGCCCAACAAGGTCTATAACTAAACAAGCTTCAGTAGCGCACTGAGAATGAACAAAATAAACCCAGAATGACGATCAAAACAGAAGAAATAGGCTCGAACAGGACATACAGAAGAGAAATGACCCTAATCATCCCAAAATATATAGGTGCAGATTTCATATACTGAATGATAAGTGGCTATAGTAATTATCTTGACAGGCCTAGGTACAGGGCCTTTTAGACTCCTTACGCCAGACATTTTAAGCACTGAAAAAGCTATGTTAGAAGAATCTTCCCTAAAGAAACCACCACACCAGAAGAGAAAGTGAGCATTCTTGTATTCAATAGACATTTTATAATTGGATTCCGACCGCACAATGCAAGCATATTTTGACCTCAAGAGCTGTTTATACTAAAAATCTGCACTGGGTAAGAAAATCGGTACAAGTTGGCCTGTCACGATAATGAATTTTGAAGCGCAGTATATCACTACAGAGATGTATTGAGATAAATGACAATATTCAAACTACTTTAGTTCACTGATGCAATAATAGTGCAGGATAATGCCAGTAAACCATTTTTAAACAGGTGTTATCATTCAAAAGGCCTGAGATGTGACAAATAAATGGCAAAATCAACCAGTAATTAGCTACAATTATAGGTTAGTTGTTTTCAACATGTCAAACCTTATTGTATTGTATTGCACCCTTGTATTGTATTGCTAGATTTCAGATAACATCACAGCATTCTATAGGCCAATATTAATTCATACAAATGGGGGGCAGTTAAAGTTTTCCATCCATTCCATTTCATTTTCTTTCGCTTATCCGGGGCCGGGTCGCAGGGGCAGCAGTCTGAGCAGGGTCTCCCAGACTTCCCTCTCCACACACACGTCCTCCAGCTCCTCCTGAGGTGTTCCCAGGCCAGCCCAGCGACATAGTCCCTCCAGCGTGTCCTAGGTCTTCCCCGGGGCCTCCTCGCAGTGGGACGTGCCCAGAACACCTCTCCAGGGAGGCTTCCAGGAGGCATCCGGAACAGATGCCCGAGCCACCTCAGCTGGTTCCTCTCGACGTAAAGGAGCAGCGGCTCTACTCCGAGCTCCTCCCGTGTGACTGAGCTCCTCACCCTATCTCTAAGGGAGCGCCCAGCCACCCTGCAGAGGAAACTCATTTCGAGCGCTTGTATTTGCGATCTTGTCCCAGAGCTCATGACCATAGGTGAGAGTAGGAACGTAGATTGACCGGTAAATCAAGAGCTTCGCCTTTCGACTCAGCTCCCTCTTCACCACAACGGTCCGATACAGCGACCGCACCACTGCAGACGCTGCACCAATCCGCCTGTCAATCTCACGTTCCATCCTCCCCTCACTCATGAACAAGACCCCAAGATACCTGAAGTCCTCCACTTGAGGAAAAGACTCTCCACCCACTTGGAGAGGGCAAGCCACTTTTTTCCGGTCGAGAACCATGGCCTCGAACTTGGAAGAGCTGATCTTCATCCCAGCTGCTTCACACTCGACTGCAAACCACCCCAGTGCACATTGCAGGGCAGTTAAAATAATAATGCTAAAATGCTAAATTAAGTTGTAATACTGTCAGTTCTTATAACTGGACATACCAGGTTCAACATTTGT